TAGATTTGAACGAAGAAATTTCGTAAAAAGCGCGAACGGTAGGTAGTGTGGTGTAAAATGATTCATGCTAGAAATTTTCATAAAAGTGATTCGAAAAACTGCGCTAACTCGGTAACCCGTGGCTCAATTTTAACGAAACTTGTTTTATTCTGTGTTCTATTCTCATTTTATTACAAATATGGCGCTATTGTGCGCCATTTTTGCTGTATTTAATTACAGACAAGCAAACAAACAAACAATCTCAGAGTTTTAGTAGTATATAGATGGAAAAGAGGGAAGGCAGGTAGTCAACACCATTCACTGCCAATTCTTGGGCTATTATTTTACCAACGAACTATCACTTTATAACGCGTCCCCGGGTAAAAGAGCGAGCATGTTCGGTGAGGGGATTCGAATCCACGCCACGGAAATTGCGAGTCAAGCACCCTAACTACCAGACCATGTCAGAAATTGCAGCGAAGTTTAGTTACACTTACGTAATGTTGTAGAATTGATTGTGTATTTGTATCTGTGACACTTATGCGATCACTGTTCGGCTACAATAAATTGATTATATTGTACTATGAAACACAAATAGATAGATAGATAGATATAAAGTGTGTTTGATAAATTGAATTTTGTGCTTCAGAATGGATTCAGGGCGTTTTTGTTGCTCATATGTCGTTTACATCAGCCAAGCACAACATTTTTCACTTTTTTTGATGTATCAAAAGCTTTTTTGTCATCATAAATGAGGAAAGAAAGGCTTCCCAAATGTGTTACATTAAACATCATATATAAAAAGGAGAACGGAAGGAGGCTGTATACGAAAATTGACTTTTTGCAGTCACATTTTATATCTAGCTAGTGAACACTAAGGTTTATACATCAAAAGAGTAATGTTTTATTGCAACTTAAATATCTATAAATATATTTCACTGGTAGCAATATTTGTGTTACCTACATATCTAATAAACACTGTGATATAAATCATGGCTAACAGCCTTTTTTTTCCCTTTTCTTTTCAAATTATTGTTGTTACGACCATAGTACCTGTTGCCGTAAGACTGGTATGTATTGGTTTACTAGAAATACTTGCAAAATATTGGGGAGGCCGCGTTGTAAAGAAAATTTGCTAGTTGGTGAACTCGCTAAAGCCAGACGTATCCTTACGTACTGATTGTTCAAGCGAGATTTTCATTTTGTTTTATGTGTCAAATCTAGTTCTAGCACCATAATGGGACAACGATTTTCGACCATCATAACCTTATTTTCACAAACTTTTACAGAAATTAAAATTACATTACTGTAATAGTGCACAGGAAAAACAAAGACCAGAATCCTGTCATAGAAAATTTTTTTTTCAAAATACAAAAATATACTGATATACATATTGTTAGACAAAAATTAAAAAGGAGGAAAAGTCACTCCTTATTTAATTGAGAAGAATATAAGTTATATGTGAAAAGCATGAGTAAAAAATCGAAAAAAAATCGGTAGCGGTAAATATATACAGAATTCATTTTTAAAAAATCAATATTTACATAATACTTACAGATGCCTAGAGTACAATTACAATGGATAACTTGTTCACAAATGATGATAACATGCATATTATGCAGCACCATGTACTTTGTTTTTCCAGCTTATTAATCTTTTCTGTATTAAACTTAAAACTGTCTTATTTTATTCCAGAAAATACTGTGAAACATGAACGAAGAAGAAATAAACCATGAGATTCAAGACTCAAATGCGTTAATTTTGAATAAGCACCCAGTTACAGTACATTTGACGAATCAAGAAGATTCCAGTGTTCGAATATTCCCAGCAGTAGAAAATGCAGGAGAGTTAATGAATGGCACAAGTCGATTCTGCAGTGACTGTACGCGGTAAGTTCTGCAAGTAATTAACTGTATTTTTTAATACGTTGTTTGTGTTGTACTTACATTTAAATACGTTAATTCTTCGTTTTAACTTATGTTAATCGTAAGCGTAGAGCACGTGCTGAACATCTTGGCTGTCTACCATAACCAGTGGGGGCATTATTTTAACGGTGTTCTCTCTCGTATTTTGGTGCCTCTCTCTTATTTTGGTGCACTAATATCCTAGAGCCCTAAGTGTTCGCTGTACAGCAAGTTCTGGAAATATATAAAAAATATTTTAAACAAAGACAGAAAAGGAAAACAAATAATACAAACTCTTTATTCATAATGTTGGTTACCAACTATCCAGCTTCTATTTAGCAGAGTGACTTCTTTTGGCTGCTGGGTATATAGATGAGGCTTTCCAAAAACATACACAGAGCCAAGAGAGTTGAGAATCATATTATATTGCACTTTCAAATAAGACCAGGGCCTTAGTGTGGCATCCCACAGTCCTTAGAATACCTACAGTGATGTACAAATTTATAATAAAACCCCACTGCTTCTGTAGTTTTGATTTGTTGTGTATATGAAATACAACATTTGTGATTTAAAATGTTGGAAGAACAGAAAATTAAATAAATTATTGATTCTCTCACCTTATCCACGACAACAAATAGCTGCAAATAATTAAAGTATCCTTGTTTTTTAAAGTTATTCCAGATATTAAAAAATCTAAATACAAAGCAGGTGCAACATTGTCACATATGATTGCCTTTAGTTTTTGTAAAGCCATTGCTGACAAAAAGTTGACATTTTCAAATTTCGAGTTTATCATGAAGGTACATGTATGAATATAAAGGTTTATTTAATTATTTTTAAAAAGATCATCTAGTACATCTAATTTCATGTGATGTTGCCATTAAAATGGCAAAAGGGAGAGAACTAACACCATTCCATAGAGTAAAATCTTTTAAGTCTTGCTGTTTGGAGTTTAAGAAAAATTGCAAGGTACCTCACCAAGCACAGTGTGATTCTTATTTGACAAATACAAGGAAATTCAGTCCTATAACATCAGAAAATTAAGGCAGGGGTTGGGTGAAAGGCTCAATGAAAAATATATATACCTAAAAATAACTTTTTAGAAAAGCTGAAGGAATTCTGCAAAAAACCTCACCGACATTAAAAAGTGATGCATTGATAAAACTTCAAAACATGCATCTTAATTTTTAGAACAGGTGCACAGGGTGCTATGTACTGACGATTATAAATTTAAATTGCTTAGTTCCAGCTGGCAGGTATACATTTGCTGAAGAGGTTGCAGAAGGAAGGGCTTGTACCACCAGTCAAGCATGCAGCAGGCTCTATGATGGTTTGGGGTGCAATATCTGTGAATGGTGTTGATCATCTTCACAAAATTAATGGAATCATGAATGACCATAAATATTCAAAAAATGTTGAGCTTATTTGGCAAAAGAGAAGAAGTGAATGGAATGGCTATCACAAAGTCCAGAGTATAACCTCATAGAATAAATTTAGGATTTGTTGAATTCCGGGCTTAACAAAAGTACCAACTGCACTGAAGAAAGCCTATGGACACAAGTCTGTTTTTTGGTAAGCTCAAAGCTACACACTGAGCTTTATCAAACCCTGAATTTTAGTATCATAAGCCCTCAAGCTTATTGCCGAGCTGCCGGATGGCAGCAAAGACAGTCAAAAGATATTTAGTTTCACTCGTATGTGGTCGTAAGAAAAAGAACTTCTAAAATTTTACATCAGAAAAGTGACAGCAAAAATTTTTATAAATATAAAATTCAGACATTAATATTTTTTTGGTAAAATTTTAGATATATCTTGTTTATAACTTTTTTTTTGTCAAAGAAGTTTTTGACTTTAATATTAAGTGGGTACTCAAGTAGGGAGCTGAGGAATACAAATTGTCAGTTACTTATCTTTAACTGCCTTTGAACTCTGTTTATTTTTGACTTGTTTAGAATTATATTATATACTTGACCCCTGTTTCACTTATACTTGTCGGCTCAAAATGCTTTTAAGTTATCAATAAGGTACTTTCATATAGGGTTTCTAGTTGTTTTACTAGAAGTCACTCAAAATTAAGTACATTTTTATCATAAATACATCTCCCTATATTGGCAGTTATGTTTGAATTATTAGTGTTAATTTATTTTATCACAGATTTAATTATTAATGTCTATTAATTTTCTTTCCATTTGAGTTGACATAGGTATTACATTACAGTTCATATTTTGTTTAACCATCTAAAACTCAATGACATTAATAGTTGAAAGATTCATAAATTAGCAACATATTAGTTTATTTAAGAATGTGATATAATTTGGTGCATTATCATCTTTAAGAAGCATGTTAAATCATAACATTATACCATTTAGAAATCAATCAAAACTAATGTTATTGCCACATAATTTGATATGCCTTTTATTGATTATTGGTATCAATATTTAGAGAAGACAGTCAAGACAACCAGACGCTAAGCAACGGCAAACCTCAATTCTTCATTGAGGTAGATGCCAGTGCAATAGCTTCATTGAGAGCAGGAACACAATATACCCTAATTCCTATTGATATCCCACAAAGCAAAAGTCCATCAAGTAAGCATCTTCTGCATAATTCGTGTGAAACCCAAGAACATTTAAACACTAGGTAAGACATTTACAATCACTTACTCAGATTGTACTGTAATATTACACCTAATTATTGATATCTGTTAACTTTATTAATTAATGACCTTGCTTATATTTGTATACATGCAATGGAAAGAACAAGAATGAGAAAAATAAGTTTTTGCTTATAAATATGAATGGTATATGTTATACATATATAACTGGATACATATTTAAAAAAAGTGTGTAAAATGATTGCAAGAGAAATTTTTCAATATATTTATTTGAATTTGAAGTCTATTCAGTCACATTATTATAAAATATCATATTAGCTTACAGACAACTTTGTACAGACATTGATTAAAAAAATTATTATCTTCCTATAAAGACTAACTCAGGATAAAGTGAACATTATTACAAGTGACAAGTTGTTTTACTTTGTATTATATATATATATACTTTGTATAGGTATTTACTAATAAAACTAAGAAAAAAAACGTTTAGTTCTCATAAATATTAGTATTTTATTTCTCCCTAACTCTGTTTACTTTTATGATGATATTTAAATATGCAATAAATTATTACATTTTTCTTAGCCTTTGGGATTATGACCATTTAAATGAATCAAGAAATCACATTTCCAATCATCTACAGAGAAGTTCAGATGACATAAGCTCTCCCAATGCTTCAAGTCCAGTTCTGAATTTAACAACGATAAATGTCAACAATGAACACCAAAATTCCACAAAGGTTAGTTGAAATATGCCTAAATTGCATTCATGCCATTTGTTATTAAAAATACTTCAGCATTGATTTCTTCAGCAATTTACATAAAGTTTTCCACAACTAGTACATACAACCAAAAAACTTACAATCATATATCCAACAATCCTACTGTTTATGGAACGTTAAAAGTTTTCATACAAAAGATTATATTTGCTATTTATGAAATTCCAATAAAAAGCTTTTCTATGAAGTGGTGGCACTAAACATCATCAAACTAAAGTATTTTTAAGTACATTTTTATATTTGTTAGTACTATATCAAGTATTTTTTGACATATTTATATAACCATGAATGTATGCAACAAAATTAATAACCTTGTTATAAATAAGTTTCTAGCTTTTAGTTCTGGAATGCTTTTGCTGACATGTATAAGTGATATGTATGTAATACTACATAACATCAAGATTGATAATAACTTAAATCACTTTCTTTACTAGATGAGTTTCCAGTAAAAAGAATGTATGATTCTGTTTCAACTTAGAATTTGTGTTGTAACCCAGTGGGCTCAATTAGTTCTTGTTTTGAGCAAAAAGCCTCATTGGCAGCAGTATACAACACATAATTTATGCGTAATTGAAATGCTATTATATATACTTCTCATGAGAAACATGAAAAGGTCGAGCAGGAAAAAAATTGTATGATTTAATTTATTATAATCAAGCTTCTTGCTGTGCTATAATATTACACACACACACACATACTATTACTGAAAAATATGTAACTTTCCTTGAGAACAGTTGAGATTAAGATTAATATGTACACACATTGTTGTCTTCCAGACATGTCAACAACAAACAGATTCAACTTCCCAGGGAGATACTGACAATTTTATTGCTACAGATAAGGTCTCGCATATGGAATGTGACTCAATTCAGGAACAGACAGTCCAGTTTCATCCACAAGTGCAGGAAAACACAGATAATAAAACTGAGTACTTCACATGTCCAATTGCTCCTTTGGGTCACTCAAAATTTTCAGAAATGGTAAACTATTGGCTTGTCTTAGTAAAATAAAATTTTAATAAACAAAACTGTCAACTTTGATCTTTTTCTTCTGTAAATATGCTTTGATATGTCTATCATTTGATAATGGTAATTCTCTAAACTTTTTTTCACTGTATCCTAACATTTGAATCAAAATGGCACAGTAGAAGAAAATTACTCTAAGTACAATGTTTTAAGTGTCCAAGCTAATTTCTGTGATGAAAATCACAGAGCTCCTAAAACATTTTTGACTTATGCAATAATTGGTTGTAAATTATCATTGAAAGTTTAATACTGCTGGTAGTACTCACATGAAGGTCACAAGAACATGGACTTCTCATGATAAAAAAAAATAATATATATATATATAGAAAAAAGTTTGGTGAAGCAAAAGTTTGAAAGTATATATATGTTGTATAGTAATCTAGTTTATCACAAGTGACTCCATAAATATATATATATTATTTTTTTTTCATACAGTATCTTTTGTTACATGCCTTTTATATTTTAATATTATTTTATAGAGTACAAAACTGCTTAGCCCAACTTCTAAGACACCAAATGCTTCCAGTTGCTTAACGATGATTCCAACTCCTCATGCTATTCATCAAGTTTCTCAACTTTGTGGAAACTCTGTGTCAGACAGTTGTTTCACACAACACAGCCCTGCTCTGTTAAACACACAAAACTTGGTTCATGGTTCTCTTATGGGTCAACATGGTCTGCCAGTCTGGTCTCCTATAAATCAAGTAAATCCTTGCGCCAGTTTCTAATAATCTATCTTTCTCTGACCATCTTTGTGCTTAAAACTAATTTAATAAAATCTATGTCTAAAAATGTTATTTGTAAATCAGGATACATTTCCATATGAAAATACAAACTTTTCTTGCAGGAAAAATTATACAGTCTCATGGTAGTTAAGCCAATCAAAACATGGTTTCTGGAAATGAGAAAAAAAAAACTTCTTAAAATAGAACAAAATGCATATGACTAATTAATGGATGAAGTGTCATAGTGATTGTTGTCTTTGTAAATAGTAAAATTTTGTTCTTTATAAGGCAATACCATTTTCTGTATTTTTACGCAAGTCTCTCATGCAGTGATAATTTTTTGTTGACCTGCGAAAACAGTGCTTTCCAACTTCCAAACATTGAGGGACTAGATTCCAACTTGATAATCAACTCACAGGTTGGATTGATAATTAACAGTCAAGAATCCTAGATTTTAAAAATATTTTAATGCTGGAACATGTAATATCTATCCATTGTACATTTAAAGCTATGTAATAACTAATGCAAGCAATATACAAATAATACTTTGCCTCTATAAAATTTAAAATAAGTGTACTTGTATTTCAAATTTACAAACTTTTAATTCTTAACAATGGAATCCTTCTAATACTTGAGAGTCAGATGAACTCTGGCTGTTGGCCAGATATGGCCCGTGAATCACCAGTTGGACAGCCCTATGTTAAAAATATTAATTTTGAATTATTTGTTGTTGTAATAATTTTCTTTCGCACTTTTTCAAAAATGATTTAATGTTGTCATTGGTGGAAACTTCATGTTAATACCTCCCTATAATTAACTTAATTTGAAATAAAATTATGGAAATAGTAGCCAATTTAGTACTTCCAATTTATTATAGTCTATTTTAAAGCATAGTTATCTGAGAGTAAACTGACATCCAAAATATATGTTATGTAATATGATAATAACTTTTCCTTAACACATTGCAGTTGGGTCCCGAGTTTACTCGTGTTTCATGCAGAGCATCTTTGTGTGTCATTTATTAAAATGTTGTGTTCGAAAGGAGTCAGACGTGTTTAATTTTGTTCTGGACGGCTATTATTTTTCTGATTTTTGCTTACAATACCCATATTTTTATAAATGGCTCTCGCAGAAAATGTAACAGGTTGAGTGAAGATGATATAATTACTGAACTATTTTATGATAATTTGTCAGATCTTCCAAGTGAAGGTGAAGATTCTGATGTGGACGTGTTTGTGGATCATTCTGACAGTGACTCTTGCTACAGTGACGTTGTTAGACCTACAAAGATACATTTGTTGTGCTCTTAACTGATTCTCAATCAGAAAGTGATGATGATTCTATAAGTGTTCCCGTTAGTGATTTTTCCCATTATGATAAGTGGTCAGAAATAGATATTGCTGCTGTGACAAGTATAATGTTTGGTGATGAAATGGTGATGTTTGAAATGTTTTGTCACGAAATGTGTATCTATCACAATCAAACTGCAGAGAAATATAAAATATCATCTAAAGGACTTCAATGGTCTGAAGTTACACCTACAGACATGAGGAAATTCTTAGGCCTTATTCTACTAATGGGACAAACAAGGAAATATAACTGGAAAGATTATTGGTCAACAGATCCTCTTCTGATTAGCCCAATACTTTCGCAGACAATGAGCTGAAACAGATTTGAACAAATTTGGACATTTTGGCATTTCAATGATAATCAGAAAATGGATGAGTCTTCAGGCTGGCTCTTCAAAATTCAACTAGTACTGGATTATTTCCTCAATAAATTCAGGATACTATACAAACCAAAACAACAGTTGTCATTGGATGAAAGCATGATCTCATGGAGAGGACATCTAAGATTCTGATCATACAACTGTGCAAAAACTGTAAAATATGGCCTGCTGGTGAGAATAACACAGGTTATATTTGAAACATGGAGATTTATTCTGGTGAGTGGAGAAAATTGAAGGAGACTATTCTTTCAGTTCTTACTCTCAATCTTGGATTGTGGCACCACATATACCAGAACAATTATTACAACAGTACTTCAATTGCAAACCTGTTCATAGAACATAAAACAATAGTCTGCAGAACAATCACAGTGAATGGAGAGTTGCCACTAAGCCTGAAGTTTCAACAATGAAAAAAGGTACCGTAGGAAAGGTGATGTTCTCGTTTTCATATGGAAAGACAAGAGAGAAGTGAGAATGGTTTCAACCATCCATGACTCATCTGTTTCTACCACAGGAAAGAAAAAATAACTGGATAAGAAATAAAAAACCAGTGTGTGTTCTTCAATACAATGCCCACATAAAAAGTGTTGATTGTGCAAATCAGTACCTCTCGTCCTACACCATTCTCAGAAAAACAGTGAAATGGACGAAAAATTTAGTACTTTATTTAATAAATTGCTGGCTTTTCAGTTCATATATAATCTACAAAGCTCTGAATTAACAGAAAAAAATAAAATATAAGCAGTTCAGTTCCTCCTCTCTGTGGCAAGAGAATGGATTACTGACAAAGAGAAAAAAAGGCTCACTGGAACTAGAGAGGAATGAACCCAGTCCATCATCTGAAGGTACAAGGAGAGCCCCATATAAGGATCCCCCAGGGAGACTGTCAGGTAACATGAAGTAGCATATTCCTCTGTTCATTTCATCTACAAGAAAAAATAAATTTCCTACTAGAGCTTGCAGAGTTTGTATTTCCCATGGGAAAAGAAGTGAAACAAGATACATATGCAAGTTTTGTGCAGTTCCACTCCATATAGGAAAATGTTTTACAAGATACCACACTTTGAAAATGTACTAGGTATCTTCATGTACATACTCTGTAAGTATCAGATAGATAATAAAAAATATAGATGAGTTATGAACCAAATAAAGTGCGTCTGACTCCTTTCAAACTCAACATTTTAATAAATGGCACACAAATACGATCTGCACGAAACACGAGTAAACTCCTAAGCCATCCGCAATGTGTTATTTACCCTTGGAAGATTGTATACTATTCATGTTATTATCCTCTAATTCACAGTCATGATGGAATGTGCACCTCAATTAACCTATCATACCATTCCACATATATGTATTAATACTAATTATATGTCACCTTTACTTCATTTTGCTTTAAAGGTTTTGTGCATACAGTTGGATCTTCTGTTGATTTTTAGTATGTAAATTAAAGATAGATGAAAGAAGGATATAAAACCCCAAAAAAAAACTTTTTAGTGTTATCATCAGTAACAAACTTACTTTTAATTCTTTTGCCACAAGATATTGTGGTGCTGTCCAGTTATATGAGCAACATGGAATAACCAAGCCATTAAGTACCAGATATGAAGTGGTTTAAAGAACCGTGTGACATCTTAGTAAATATATATATATATATATACACACACACACATATATAATATTCAAATAGTGGGGTGGTCATACATTTATGCATTTTCCACTTTTGCTAGCATCTTTGACTATCTTGCTGCTTCAGACAATTAAGAATTTTTTTCAATGCTTATATTCATAATGGACATCTCAGATAATTCTTCAGTGAAGACTATGGTTGTGTATCTCCCAAAAAAGGAGGACAATTGTTATAGTCAGCAGACTTCAAAAATGCATGTATCAAACACACTGTTCTGAGGTTTTTGTTTTGTTTTTTCGGAACTATAGATCCTACAAAGGAAATCTCAGTTTTAACCTATGCCATTTGCTATTCTCTGTTTCTTCTCAGCATTTGCTAGTGTACATGTTATCTATAGCATGGAGAAATATAACTTGTATTGCTGAATGTATAATTTTGCAAAGAAACTGACCCATGAAGAGTAATTTTTTAAATTTCTATTTCAGACAGGAACATCCTATACCTTTAGTTCCTTCCCAGCATGTGTTACTGTTACCCCCAGCAACTCATCATTTAACTCAATTGTTGCTAATCCCACAATTTCTTTAAATAGCAGTGGTGAAGAAGTGAACAATTCACCAGAATATTCCAGGTTTGTTCATTTTGATGGATGTAGTAATTTGTCTTGAAAAGTAAGACAGAAGTAAGAGAAGTTTTTAAAGCACTAATAAATGTCTGTATGTAGGACTTGTTTGGCTATATAATTACAATGGTGAGAGATAACTAATTACATACATTCTGCAGATATGTATTTCATACACTTTAATTAAAATATGTTTAATTATTTTTGAAAGCTTTATTGACCTCATGAGAAAATTATCTTTCTGGCACTTTATTTAGATATGGTTAAGTTACTGTTATTTTGTTTTTAGAATCAATCAATCTCCTACTAACATTATTTTGCACTTTAGGATACCAAAGAGCAAAGAGATTACTGGACTACAAGCACATGGTATACAAAAAATGAGACTGGCTTCCACAGGGCAGTTCCAACAAATAATTGGATCACTCGAAAGTGTTCCTCTTTTTCTACCACTTAATGGCCGTGAGAATCATAATGAGAAGGAAAGGAAAAGACGGTGATTAAACCATTATATTTGTTCATTTTCTGCTCTTAGTGCATCATTCTTGAGTTTTCTGGGATCAAGATAAAAAAAGGAAAATTGGATTTAACACGTCTGGCATAACTTTCATTGAAGTCCAGTAAATAAAGGGTTAAATCTTCCTACTACAACAGAAATAAAATAAACTATTTTAATTAAATTAAATTATCTTGTCAGATTTCTAAGATTATAATCATTTTATACTTTACTAAATGTTGATATATGTGTATTGATATATATATCTATATATACACACACACACACGTATCACAGGATATCTTAATAGCAGTTAAGCAAGACTTGGAACAATGAATTCAAATAACTAATTATTTTTTAATTTCCAAATTTTTAAAGAAATTAGTTTTAAATGTTATTAAACTTTAAAACTGATTACTCGTAAATATGAAATAAAACAACATGATTTTCCCATGCTTAAAAGAAATTATTTCTTTCTCACTTAATATATTGTACATAGATTTGTTCTCATGTTAAGGTTCACTTATCAATATATAATGTTTTTTTTTGTTCTTTTTTTTCCATCTTGTAAGTGTAAATGCATGTATATTGTTCTGTATATTTCATGTTATAATTTCTACTTTTTGAAGAGGACGAATCAAAAATGCTTGTCAAGGACTCCGCAGTTTAGTTCCTGGTCTCAGTGAAAAGACAGATAAAGCAACTGTGTTCGAGTTTACAGTGCAGTACCTTGTGCATTTGAAGAAACACATTGGGATACAGTATGATAAGGTTAGTACTGTAGAACTCAATAAGCTATATACTAATTTACAGGTCTGCTTATTGTAGTCAAAGAATAGATGAACAAACAAGTTACTCTGTATCTAAATTTAGTGCAATAATTTACAACTTAGATATCATAGAAGATATTGTTTCATTGTTTGTTTATCATCACTTAAGAAAGTCCAGTGAGGTAACTGAAATTAAATAATTTTTTTTACATTAACTTGTTTTAACTAGAATATGAGATAACTGTATGTTCATTATTTGTCTATATTTGTAATTATGTACTTTAGTATGACAATAGTGTGTGTGTGGGGGAACATGAGACAGTTTATCTAAATTAACAGTGAGCATTATTATGACCACTAAACTAAATGTTTTTCTACGAAAACAAGAGAAGATTTTTTATAACTTCTGTTTGATACCTAAGTATTGAACTGAAATATGTTTAAGGCTGTTTATATGTCAAGGGTAAAAAAATATATATAAAGAAGCCAATCTCATTATTTTCTGCTACTTTGTTAATGTAATATATTATCAGTCATGATGAAACATGATTTTGTAGTGCTGGAACATTGTAGTAAACATCTAGAAGTAATTGAGATTTAATTTTTTCCCTCACATTCAGGATTTTATCGAGAAGTATTTGCAGTACTAAATATCACATTTACTGCACAGCTTCTGTCATGTTCTTAGAACAGTATCACCAGATGACCATAAAAGAAAGCAATGTGATTCTCAAAGAAAAATGAATTTTCTCTATAATTGTATTCAAATGTTTCAAGACGTGTAAATATAATTTCCTCCAGGATATCACTGATTTAAAACTATTTCTTCATCATTCACAAAACAAAGAGGAGTTATATGTTTGCAATATGAATCATAATTTGCAAAAAAGTTTGATCTTTAGTTTCTTTGGTATTTCATATAATCCTAAAGTTTGGGAAGTGCTTGTGAACTAAATATTTTTAACTTGGCAAATTTTTGTAAGATTTTTTTTTTCCTAGCATGATGAAAGTTTTGAAATAAAATTTGAAGTAACTATATTATTTGTTCAAATTTCTGATGTAATTTCATAAACACTGAATTATCAAACCATAAAATAAATCAAGTTATTGTAGTCATGAATGTAAAAAAACTTGAATGCAAGAAAGTTTATACTGCACCAACTTAATCTAGTGTGCACCATAACAGTTCTTTATGCAATTTAATAATATAACCACTACTATGTCTGTCATACCATACCAGACCTGATGAGCTCTGGTATTGGGTGAAAGGCCTCCTCACCATTGAATAAAACAGATATAATGATATTCTTAATGATGAGCAAAGTTGACTAAAAAGTAAAAATAAGTAATAATAAAAAATAATGCATTATTAATCTTGATTTAAATAACACTTGAACTTTATCCAGTTCATACCATAACAATTGTTATTCATATAATTTGATAACACAAACAGCATCTTGGCCACTTCAGTTGATTAGTAGTATGGAAATTAAATAATATAAAGATAGATGAAAGAAGGATATAACACTCCAAAGTAACAGTTTTTGCAAGACATCTGGGTTTCTCAGTTTTTAAATTATTTTGTCCAAAGCTGTAAATAACTTATAAATGTAAAAAACACTCATAATGATATAAAAGGTATTTATCATTGAGATTAGTAGTTAGATGGTTCAAAGAGCAATCGAAACACTGAATAAAAACAAATGTAAATTGTTACAAGGCTGAGGCTGTTTGGGATACACAACTGAAATTTTCTGTTATAATATGTAGTCATTTTAGAAATAAAAATGGGTAATTTAGATTTATTGCATATTTTTTAGTGGTGGTTACAAGGTTGATCAAATGGACTTGAGCTTGTACAGTGTTATAGTAAAGAAAATAACATAAAAAACTTTTGATATTCACTTAGAATGTTCTAGAGGTTATGCAAATGAAATTTTAAAACTGTAAGATGAAAAAAAGTATTTTTAATCTTTACTTGAAAAATCACCTCATTTAGACTACTCAGTCACACACTGACTCCATAAGTTCAGGGAAATACTTGGTAAGAGTACTTAATTAAAAAATCAAAATTTTTTGTGTTCAAAAACTTACAATGTTTACTATAAGCTTGCCAACTTTTGTGAAGATACATATAAAAAGTTATAGTATGTATAGTTTGATAGTTACATGATAGTTGCAATGTTGGCCAAAGTGACAAGTCTATATAGAGAGAGTTAAAGTAGTAAAAATAAGAAACTATTATATTGTTTATTTATAAGGATTTAGAAATAAATGTCTGCAGGTGTTATTCTTATGTAACATATCTTTGTAAGTCAGTAGCAAGTGTATCCACAATGTTGTCAAACCACTTTATTAAACCATAAGTATAACTTGCATAAATTTCTTTAGGACAAAGGTTAATGTTACAATAACTTCCTAATCAAGACAGATTACTCACAGATGGCTTAAGCTATACCTACATAAATACTTCTTATGCTCAAATCTGTACACACACACACAATTTCCAAGAACAATAATGACTTCCTGAAAACAGAAAGAAAAATAACAATTTAGATTCTGGAGTTTAAAGTTACTGTGAATAAAAACTTATACAAATGTGAGCCACCATTTTGCTTTCCCCTACTAGAGACATTTTTAATTACACTGCTGCATTTGAGTCCAAATCATAAATAAATCAAAAAGATTTTAACATATGATTTAAAACAAAGTATTTTCATAATTAATAAGGGGTTGTAACAATACTGAATTTTACAGTTAAATAAACTAAAGCTATTTAATATAAAAATTGCTATTTATCTAATAAATTTAAGTTAAATTGAAAAAATATGTTGTACTTGACCAGCGACAACAGTTCATCTTTAATAGGCAAAATAAAGATACCAATGATAAAAGAAATCTAATACAAATGCTTACATATCAATGGTTTGTTTGTTTGTTTGTTTTTAATTTTGTGCAAAGCTACACGAGGGCTATCACCACTAGCCATCCCTAATTTAGCAGTGTAAGACTAGAGGGAAGGCAGCTAGTCATCACCACCCACCACCAACTCTTGGGCTACTCTTTTACCAACGAATAGTGGGATTGACCGTCACCTTATAACACCCCCATGGCTGTAAGGGTGAGCATGTTTGGTGTGACGGGGATTCGAACCTGCAACCCTCAGATTGCGAGTCGAGCGCCCTAACCACCTGGCCATGCCGGGCACATATCAATGGAAAGTAATAATATTTGTAAAGGAAAAACAAAATAGCAACAATATACGCATACATACACAAATACACTTTCATATTACTAAGTAATAATACTTGAACAGAAAATAATACTTCACCTATAGCATAACAACCAAGGTTAAAAAAAAAGTACTTCTATACTATAGGTAACACGTTTTTGTGTTACCAACCAGCTACTGGACTTTATTATTCTCCTCTAACACTATTACAGTTCACTGGTATGTATTGTGAAGAACAAGTCTGTATTCTTCTACCTGTCATTACCAAAGTTTGCTGGCACCAGTAATCATTATTAGTTATATATTGTACAGAACATACATTTCTTCTACCTGTCATTACTAAAGTTTGCTGGTACCAGTCATCATTATAAGTTATAGTTATATATTGTACAGAACATACATTTCTTCTACCTGTCATTAGCAAAGTTTGCTGGTACCAGTCATCATTATAAGTTGTAAGTATATGTTGTACGGAACACACATTTCTTCTACCTGTCAATACCAAAGCTTGCTGGTACCAGTAATCATTATTACTTATATATTGTACTGAACACACATTTCTTCTACCTGTATATCTTTTACTTTACTACAGTGTGCTGTTCTGTCCTCATTTAAAGGTCATTACTAGCATTTCTTGATACACAATGTGCATACTATATGTATCCTTATACATTTGCCCTTGCTTGAAAAAAATTGTGTATAACAGTTGTAAGGATAAAAACTGGTCACACCTACTTGCCTTAACTACTGCATGATTTTTTATTCCTTTCACATAACTGGAGCTGGAGGTGCTGGTGGCTTTTCAAATTCCCCCAGCTCAGCATCGTAATATGCCAAAGCACGGAAGGGTCGAAGCTCAAATGGCACACGATCCTCCATGTATGTCAAAGTGATGCCAAGATCCTCGAGGGATGGTACTCCACGAGTAGGAGTGTCAGTCACATGCTCCTAGAATAAGACTGTATTACTCACCCAGAGTAGCTTATACTAAATTAAACAATCTTTTCAAGTGGTTACTTATTTGCTTCTTTTAACTACCAAGCTACATGAATAAACTGTCTAAAATAAATATTATCACTACATTACCCAACAGTCTGAAATATTCAGGTGTAAGACCTAAAACTTTTGAGATAACCTTCCACTAATTTTCTTTGAATTAATATTGGCTAATTTCAACAAGTAACCTTTCTGCAAGTAGATTTTCTTTAGTTTCACCATTCTAAATTCAAGTAAAATCCTGCACTTTTCCAGGAAATTTTGCCTTTACACTAGTGTTGTTTCATTATTAATGATATGTACAGAGTGGAATATTAAATAAAAATAAAATACAAAAATGACTCAGATTTGACTTTTTTTATGTACCAACAGTAAAATAAATATTTTTTCTCGAGAAGTTGTTATAATTAGATTCTGAATGTGGAAAAAATCATAAAATTATTATCAGTTCTAAGACATACAGGTCAAAGTTCAGAATGCTCTCAGCCAAACTACCTGAAACTTCCAAAACATTACACAAAAGTACCTGAACTTGTTTGCTGTTGAGGTAACTTGAGGGGGGGTGCATTGCACTAAGTAGCAAAACAAGTTTATCCTTCATATGCCTAGTTGTTAATCATAAGTGATACAAGTTTGGCAAGCTTGAATTTACCCTTTGGGTCATGATGTTTTGTTTTTTTATCATTGGAATTTATGCTTTCAAATCATGTAGGTATAAGCATGAGCTGCATTGTTCCCTAAAATGTTTGATTAACCTTTAACCCTGTTCTTATTGTCATACATTGTTGGTAACAGATATTCTGTTTTGATACAGTTTAACTTTATCCTGAAGAATTTCTTCTGTTTCTTTCAGCATTATATTTTGTCAAGATACATTTCTATTAAAAAAAAATCATAACCACAACACTCCTTAACAGCAACTCCATAGACTAGGATTTCTCAAATGTTAAACAAAATACACAATTTAGAAAAAGCACTGAAAACTGTTTCACATATATAATGTTTTTCATGGTACTTTGGGTCCTTGCTACCACTACTATGTTATCTAAAGGATAGAGATGTAAAAGTATTATTACAAACACACTCATAGTCTATGCATTAAAATCTCACTACAGATTTTTTTCTTACCCTTTCAACTCGTTCCCATGATAACAGTGGGTATTTTCCTATTATCTTTTCTGTGAGGAATATTCTTGTCCTAAAAATTCAAGTTTTCAAAACAGCTTTGAATTTATCTATGATGTTTAATAAACAGGGCATGAAAAACTGTTGTTTTTATTTAACATCCTGTCCCAATGCAATTCATTATAGCAAACACTTACAAATGTAGAAATAGCATGCTTAAAACCCAAAGTACAACAGTCCACATAAGACCACCAAACAAGTTTAGTGGAATAAAAAAAAAAGTACAAAGAGCAAGTATGAATCTTATTAAAAATAAATATGAAGCTTAATAACTTTGCTCATTACAAGGCTTCTAATAACATGAGTCACAAAAAGGACATTTAACAGAAAGTGAAAATTATACGTATAGTGCAACACAAAAGTCCCTCATTATGTATGTATAATTCTTATATTATGAAGCATACAAAAGTTACTCATAACTTAAAATTCCCAGAAAAAAGGTAAAACACTATAAAATCATATTTTCTGAGCCACAAAATCCCTTATGATCTACAAATGACATAAAAAAGTTAACAAAGTATGTGTTGTAAATCACCAAAAGTTCCTAATAACATGACTCACACACAAGTGAAATATAAAATGTGTATTGTGAAGCATCAAAAGTTCTTAATACCACATGATGCACAAACAAAAGTACAGAAACGTTAACATTTTCCTACACTGAAAATGTATTTCTGATAGCTTCCTCTTATCACATAATAACTATATGCAGAATTTTCACTCACCACTAGTCTTGATACTCCCACCTACCCTCATGTGTTTACACCTGGTATAGCTGTGCTGTAGCATGAAAATAAGCATGTGATAACCCTCTACGAATAGGAGTGCAACACAAGCTCCTAGCGCAGCTGACCCCCTCTATATTTTAGAGTACTATCATCATTTCAAGATTAGGCAAAAAAGTGGGGAGGAAGTGTGAGAGGGGGTAAGTATTTATCAGAAATACAAGATTCAAAGCAACTGAGATGTTACAAACAAGAAGTCAAACTTGTTGAGATTGGGCCCAGAAAAGAAGATTTAGTGTTCGAAAACAAACAAGACTGGGTGCCCCATCGATGATTGACATAAGAGACAATGGTGAAATTGTTGGAATGGATCATGCCTAGGTACCCCCATACCACAGGCAAGAAATGATCTAATGCCCAACAAACAGTAAAGTGTGACAGGATCCATACCAGACATGAAATACAAAGTTTATCATGTAGAAAAAGAAACATTTTCCAGAAGAAAATAAATTATAACAAACTTAAAGTTGTCCAATAGGTAGCAGAAAGTTAAAGTGAAAGCAAAAATACAATGTACTGAGCAAATTTTTTTATGGCTGCACTCATGAAGGCCAAATCAAGAAGTGATGATAGTACTCTACACTGTAACAGTATAGAGAGAATCAGTTGTGCTAGAAGTGTGTGTTGCACTCTTATTGCTGGAGGGTTGTCACATGCTCATTTGCATGCTACAGCACAGCTATATCCAAATGTAAACGCGCGAGGGTAGGTGGGAGCATCAAGGCTGGTAGAGGGCAGTGCCAATCAAGGAAAGAGGAAAGCTATTATGTGAGAGGAAGTAAGGTATTGTATTGGAATATACATCTTGTGAAGCATCAAAGTTCTTAATACTGCATGATTCACACAAAAGTACAGAAACTATATGTCTTGTGATACATCAAAAGTTCTTAATACTGCATGATTCACACACAAAAGTACAGAAACTATATGTATTGTGATACAAAGTTCTTAATACTGCATGATTCACACACAAAAGTACAGAAACTATATGTCTTGTCATACATCAAAAGTTCTTAATACTGCATGATTCACACACTAAAGCACAGTAGAATCTCATTTATACATTCTCCACGAATCTCTGTCTTCAATTATGCGTGGTCCATTTCTGTACACCGAGTATTGTAAGAGGCAAAAACATAAAATTACTCAACATTATATAATATGGGGACCCCTTCAGTAGCTTAGATATAAAAACAAGTTGGTAATTTGAGGGAGAAGACTGATATATTTATATGTTAATAAAACTATAAATCACTGTACGGGTTGTATTATCAGTTAGAAATACATACAACACATTTACTTTCCTATCTGACAATTTTTTAAAGTGATATTTAAATGAGTATCATGTGAATAAATACTATACAAATTTAAATAGACAGAGTTTTATGTATACAAAGAGAAAATGTCACCAATAGCCGAGATAGATTTCTTTTTGTTTGAATACCTAATTTGAATACTTTTGAGGCTTCAGTTGAACAGAGAATGCTAATCACATTGTTTGTTTTTTGACCATCATTTTGCTAGTATACTATCTTACTGAACATAAGGTTTATTTTATTCACGATAAAATGTTTTGTTGAACAAGTTATATTTTGTCTGTAGTTTCTTATATTAATTATTAGCAATAGTTATATCCAAGATGTTACTTGGAATTTGAACCTATTTATCTTATCACCTGCAGCTTAAAAATCGTACATTAAAAGTTGCAATCAGTTAAATATTAATTTCATTTAAAACATTTACTTGCATGTTAATTTCTCCTTGTAAAGTTTGTCTTAACCTGATTTATCTTGAGTTACATATTTACAACAGTCTGATGTATATCTGATTGAATCTTACATACTGAAATATTAGATCATATCTGAGATCAGTGCGTTTGTAGCCCCAATCAGTGTCTTTCTTCATCAGAAGATGGAACCAATCCACTAATTCTCCAAGTTCATAACGTCGAGGTCTAGTAAGAAAGAGATAAAATCAAGTCAGTAACTAAACTTTTTTTATACAATAAGTTTTTTGTAAAACTACCAGAACCAAGCTATTATAAGTGTACAGTTTCTTCCAAATATGACAGTAAGGTACCTTACCCAACGGCTTCAAATGTTTTTCCAACAGCATCAGGATCAAAAATAGAATTTACTATAGCCTCAGCTACATCAGACACAAAAACAGGCTGTTTAATAGTTTCCTTTCCCTTCTTCCACAAAGGCAAGTGACGAATATTTCTTCTCCCTAAACATTAAACACCTGTTAGAATTATTTTGTAGCAGCATCACATTAATATACATTCACAAGTCACAACTCTTTTGGTGTTAAAGAACAGGAAATGTGACTAATTCTTTCTACATTACAGCATGTATGATATATGTAGAACAAAACATCTACAATTGAACTACTCCACAGGTAATAAGTATAAAACAAATTATTTATTTTTTCTAAAACATGGTTCATATTTCAAGTACATTTCATGTGCAAAAGGGAATCCAAAACATAATCTACTAAATGTACATTATACAATGCTATCCAGATATTATTTTTTTTTTTACAATTCATTTCACATGTTTAGTGGATAATCCATATAGCCCTGAAAATCTTGACTAAAGTGGGACAAATCTGTTGTGTTTTCAAATCAACATACAGATTATTTTAAACCATACATCTAATAACTTACTTTCAAATTCTTTTTATCTCTCTCACTACAGGCTTGGTCTCAGGGACCATCCTCATAACCATTTTGTGCTTGTTATAGTTTTCATGCTATAACTTTTAATACAGTAAGCATATCTTCACAAACTTTTGCAGATTATCAGTAAACATTACAGATTTGTTTATTAAGTTTAAGATTTTTTAAGTAATGTTTTTCTCATGCATTTTTTCTTTTCAAATGTTGACTATCCAAATCAATTTTGATTTTAAGAATAAAAATACTTTTATGCATCAGAAAATTCTCAAACTTGACATGCAAAATTTATAACCTCCAGATAATTATCAAACTTTTTTTAGAAAAACTATATTTTATCTGTTATTTTCAATATTGTATCAATGTAGTAGGGGCTTGGTTGATTTGACCAACCTTGTAACAATCATAAAAAATTAGGAAATAGGTATAAATTATGCTTTTTTTGGTCTAGAATGACTACAAATTATAACATTATAACATTTTATAAAATTATAAAAGTTATAATTTTCCTGTATGAAAATGTATTTCTGATAGGTACTTCCCTCCACTCACATGCCACAAGCTTTCTTCATCCCTCTGTTGGAATCAATGTTCCAACATATCTCTCATGCAAATCATCATGCATCATCTCTCCAGCAATAGGAGAGTACTACTATCACGTGACACATGTGATTCCCTCTATGCGCCACTACCAAACCATCACTTTGAAGTGTGGCAGAAGACACTAGCAACAGAATACTGTGGGAAGGACGAGTGGGAAGTGTGAGCGGAGGGAAGTACCTATCAGAAATACATTTTCATACAGGAAAATTATAATTTACAATAAGGTACTCTCTCTCCACTCACAAGATTAACTGGAATCCAAAATTATAAAAGAGGAGGAACCAGTGTGAGGGAAGAACAGATGTATTCCCCCAAAAGCATCCGAAGGTCTGCACAAAGTAGTATGGATGAGGGAAACTATTCAATAAGTAATCAGATAGGAGAATAAACATAAAGGAACAGGTGGGAACAATCCTAGCTGAAGGCATCTATACCCAAACTCCGAGGATGGGGAACTGGAGACCAAACTGAAGCAAACTGCGATTGAGAGTGGTGGCAAAAGAATCGATATGGGGTGTACCCAAACAATGGCAGAGCCACAGAAAAACTGAAGGATGCAGAGACTATTCTGTGGGATAAACTCAATCCAGTCGGGAAAGACGGTATTGAATGCACCAAGAACATGACACTCCATAAAACAAATACGATGTATGTGGGCCCAATAGAGAAGATCCAGAGTGTGAAAACACAGGGATCTTGACTGGATACCACCTTGGTAGTTGATATAGCCACCACCGTAGAATTGTCGGAATGGATCATAACCAAGTCAGGCCCAACATTCTCCTCTCCTGCTCCATTCTATGGAACTGGCTGTTTGGAAAGCCCTGTCTGCTCCCTTACTTACTGCTTGCAAGGTTCTATTGTTTTGGAGGATATGGTCATCTGTGACACCTCTCGTACCCCTAGGCAGGGCTCACGTGTGATTGCTTCAATGGGTCCTTCACAATCAACGGAACCTTAACTGGAATCCCTTGGATGCTCCTATATCCCTTCTCCCCTCCCTTGTGGACGATCTTCATTGGTGGTTGGACACGGCTCCATATATCACTGGGTGTTCTGCTTCCTCCTCTGCAGCCAGATTTACACCTGTTCATGGATGCATCCCTTCAGGGTTGGGGTGCCTGGGTAGATTACCAAGAGGTTTTGTTTGGGCTATTGGTCTGTCGAAGAAAGTTCTCTTCACATCAATGTCCTCGAACTCCTGACTGTCTGTTGGGCTTTGGATCATTTACTTACTACACCAGTGGTCACCAAAATGGGTGTTGAAGAAAACACCCAAATGGACAAATGTTGGGAAGGTTGAAGGAAAGAATTCTCCAATTTGATCAACCAGCCTACCTACACAGCTTCAATGAGGAGTATGACTAGCTGATTTTCATTCGAAATAAGCAAGAAAAAGCCAGTCACTCATATAAATGTGGAAGTGCAATCCCATGGCATGAATATGCTGAGCAAAGGAGCATACCACTCGACAGAACATGTATAGCGCCAAAGCCAGGCCAAATGACAAGGCATGATATTGGTATACCACACCCAAGTAAACAAACCAAAGACAAGGACAAGAATGCTCCGTTATGGGAATATGCAGATATGTGTTGGAAACATCCATCTTGGTCATCCAAAACCCCCAGAGAAAAGGCCCACTGAAGAGAAAGGTAGGTAGAGAAAGACTGAGAATTGTAAATCCTGGTGGCCAGATATGCCATAGATTGCAGGCAAAAAAAGATAGATTAAACTCGGTTGAGACAAGACAAGAAGAAAAGACCAAAGGTAACCAACAATGAATGGGTGTGAGAAAGGATGTAGATCGTATGAATAAGTCCATACCCCAATGAAGTAGCCATAGGAAAAGAAGGAACGTGGGAGAAGAGGAAACATCTAAGAATGGCCTAACAGAAGAAAATAGTCCAAAAAAGAACTGCCAGCCCTGGGCTGTGAATATAGTAAGCAAAGGCCCACAAAATGCCAAGGAATATAAAAGAGGCCAATGCTAAATGACAGGGAAGAGCAAAGAACAGGAAAACATGAAAAAGAAGGAGGAAGAACAGAAAACAAAGGGAGGACAGGCCGAGAAAGGTGTGTAGGAAAGTATCCAACACATGGACCACAGTCAACCTCAAACTGGGTGAAGAATTACCGTAGGTTGTGTTGGAAAGAGGTAAAAAGGAAGAGAAGAGGACTGAGGAAAGAGACTAAGGTGGACAAATAGAAAACGACCATCAGCAAAAAGTAATACCAACAGCAGGAGAAGAGATAGGTACCCAAAGAATCGTACATGTATGATAGTCACTGATAAGGAGAGTGAAGAATAGACTACTAGATGAGTAACAGTAAAGGGTAAGGTCAAGAAATAGGAAAACAAAACAGAAATGTTATGATAGCAACTAAGAGGAAAGGAACACCATAAAAGACATCTTGGCAAAGAAAAAGAAGTACTCAAGGAAAAGGAACAAGAAAGAGAAAAATAACCTCACCCAAAGGGGAACAAAGTACAGAGGGATAGAACAGAAGAAGTGGAAAAGGCCAAACAGAGAAGGGAATAAATGTCTACAGAAACATTAAGAAGTGCCTCAGATAAAAGGTGGAGACAAGAGAGAGAAACAGAAGGATAAGAAAGGATGAGTCTACAAATCCAAACAAAAGAAGTCACAAATGTGAGGGGTACCACACATTTGGGCATGAGAAAAAGAGCTATTAGATAAAGGAAACAGTATAGAACCTAATAACAAGCATGGAGAAATGACAAGATAAACCCAACTCATGGGTCAGAAAGTGAAAAAACAAGAAAGAATACAGGCAAAAGAGATGGAATAGAATATACCCGAGAATCAAATCCAGAAAGACATTGAAAGGTTAAGATCATTTCACGAATGGTAAATTACTACCCACAGCAAATAGGTGAAGTTCATAGTCTAATAAATCATTCCCAACGGAGGAGAAAGAGATACTGCTGATGAGATGGGACTAAGAGGCCCATTAAGCATGTGGTAATCCACAACTCGTTGAACAACGGCTGTAACAACCATGAAAGTTTACAAACTGTCAAAAGCCCAGCAGAAATAAGGCCTAAGTGTGAACGATGTCCCACACTCAGGACTAAATATAAATTACCATAATTTGTGAATTCATGATAAAAAATTAAAGCTTTTGAAACAAAAGAAAAAGAAAGTTTTGTTAACGATGCAAGTCTAAATAAATTGAACACAGATGAGAAATTTAAACACATCTGTACAATACAATGCCAAGAAGACAAATGAACTTTTGAGTGCATTGAATTTTTTTCCTTGGAGGTGTATCATCTCCTATTGGTGGAGGGCTCTGCTGCATGATTACATCATTATGCACTAGTGCAATTTACATTAGATCATGTGAAATTAGGTGGGAGTTGCCTCAAGGCTAGTGACATGCAAATCTCTTTGGCAGATGAGCAAGGAAGATAGCTGTTTGGTGTGTGTAAAGAGGTATGTTAATCTTGGAAGTATATATTTTATTTATTGTAATATATTTTTAACAAAAGTAATTAAATGTAAAAAATTAAAATTTGATGTGTATAAGTTTGTTTGTTTGTAGTTAAGCACAAAGCTACACAATGAGCTATCTGTGCTCTGCCCACCATGGGTATCGAAACCCGTTTCTAACATTGTAAGTCCACAGACATACCGCTGTACCACTGGGGGGAAACGTGTATAAAAAACCTAAACAAACAACTAAAAGATTGTTTTGTAATCACTCCTCATGTAACACACAAAATACATACACAAGTTTAGACATGAATGTAATCTCATCTGTTTGTTTACTCTGCTATCCCTCCAAGTAATTTACTGCTTGCCACAGCAGTTATATATAGTTCAAAGACTCATGAAATAATAAAATTAGATAAATAATTGTAATTGTCTGTTACACTCTGCAGTAATTCTAGTAAAAAAGAAAATTAGATTTCATCTTACATTTTTCAGTGTTTGCTACAGATGATTTTGCTACATTTATTGTTAGGGTAGATAAAATAAGAGACAAAGTATAAAGTTTTACAGAAGAAAAAGAACTTTTGCTATTCATTTAGGAGGCTCTAAAGGTTATGTAAATGAATTAAGAAAACTGTAAGACAAAAAGAAGTATTTTATTCTTAGTATGAAAACAAACTTTCTCTCAGACTGATTGTGAAGGCTTTATAAATTCATAGACAAATATTTACTAAAAATACATTATTAATAAACCAGATATTCTGTGTACAACAGACTTGTAAAAAAGCTTGCCATATTTTGTGAAGACACTCTTCAGTTATAGTATGCATAAATTCATGGTTATTTGGTGGTTACAAGATTGGTCAAAATGACCAAGCCTTTATACAGAGAGAGTTAATGAGCAATTTATATCCATGCAAAAATCTTTGCATACTAATACTTTGAGCAAGAATGGTTGGTAATCAAACAGTTATAAAATGTTTCTCTATATGTATTGTATCTTTAGTTAAACTATTTATCTCCATTTGAATTACCTAAATCTCTAGGTAATGAAAAAAATCTCTCAGTATGAAGCATACCTCAATGAAAATTATTTATATGGTCAATGCATTAATTTTTGGCAATTGTTTGTTTATCGACAAAGCTATCTACCTCCATCACTAATTTTGAACTAGCAACCAGATGGAAAGGAACCAGTCAGCAGCAACCATCACCACCTCTTGAGCTAATATTTACCAACAAATAGTGGGAATGACTGTCACATTATAATGCTCCCATACCTGAAATGGCAGACATGTTTGGTGCCAAGTTTTGATCTTGGAATCCACATTTCTAGTCAAGCACCTTAACCATCAGGCCATTGCACATCATTTTTCTAAATGAACTAAATATTTCTCTCAGATTGAATTAAGTACCTTGGAGAAAAACTGTTTCCTACAGTGTGATAAGAAATCTCTACACACCATATAAATTAATTAATTTAAATTTTAAATAAACCAGCTGTAGGTTGAATCAGAAGGAATACCTTTAAGTGCACAAAGAATACACATTCTTAGTTTTTATTACACAACAAAACCAAAATCATTTTCTCTCACTTGATACAAATTACAAAATGATAAGCTTATGCAATAACATACTTACAGAAATGGGAATAATATCGTAAGAAACGATCTTCGTGACCATAGATATCTGCTGGACGAAAAACTATAGCTTCTGGAAATTCTTCTCGTACAGCTTGTTCTCCAGCCCACTATGAGTGGGAAAAAAAAAGCAATGATACTTTGTCACTATAATATATGACTTTAATTACGAAAATGATCAAAGAAAAATTGCTTTTTTAATAGATAATCAGTTACTCATTTTTTATAATATCATTTTGTTTTATCATTGCTAGGCTGTATAGCAAAAACTTGATATTTAAAGAAATAAAAAAAATTATATTTATTTTTTATCTTTGACTGCTCAATCCATAGTCTTTATAAGACAATTATAATATGATTATCTTGAATAACTTCTTGACACCTTTGCTTGAAACCAAATTATATATTTTACACCATGTACTGAAATCTTATCACACTGCTTACACAAGTACATTAATATTTGTTTTGAATTTAGGCCTATAAATATATTAAATTTGGATATTCAAAAACAGTAATTAACTTAGTATACTTATATATATAAATATACAAAAATAATCTCATGTAAAGGTAGTCAAAAACTTAATACATGTAACGTATTTTTCCATTTCAAACTATTACCACCTGAAGTGGTATATAAATTAAAACTGTGACAAAGGTTTGAACAGTAATTTGTGATAGTGCGTGTAAATTCATCCTACTACTTTATTTTTCAATCATAATCCTTAATTGTTCCTAAAACAATATAACACTCATTTGAATTTTTATGTTAATAGCCAAATGTGAGAATTAAGTTGCATCATTTCTGTGATTAAAGTCTTGTCATACTAGCTGGACCAACTTTTCTTGTTAAATAACATATTTAACCATATTTTGAAACAATATTCATGACAAATACTTAAAAACACATTAGGCCATCTTTTGTACAATATAAGACATTCAGTGTGACTTTGGGTATTACAAGTGAGAAATAAAAACTTAAATGCTTTATAGAAAACATTCAATAACCATTCTTTAGTACAGTGAAAAATGATACACAGTCTGTGAGCCATATCGCACAAAATTAGCCAATTTTACGAAAAGCAAATTGGAACATTTACCAGTTCCATACCAAATATGCATTTTAGAACACAAAAAATTTATCAAGTACTAGAATAAGATATTCCAAAGATGTGCAGATTAAGAATTAATTAATTTTTTTTTTAATTACCACATTCATTGCTAATGATATGTTAACATATCAATCAGCACATGGGCTATAAATATGTGTGATCATACAGGTAAACAGTACCTTAGTGCTGTACAATGGTTATGTACATCCTGCCCTGTTGTAAATGACAGAAAAACTTTTTTCACTAAAATTTCAAGTCACGTGACCTGAGATTTCTGCAGTGGTTTGTTTTAGTTACCATTATAGCTACAAGATGGCAGTGTTGTGCACACATTTTAGTCTGTATGAAACTGAGTATTTTACAAGAATCTGATCCAGAGTCACGTCAGGAGGACAATGTAGATAAGGATTGTAATTATGAGTCTACTGATGAAAGTGGTGTGGATTTTACAGGCCACGTAAATGATCAAGATGGTTCGTCCACAGCTGACACTGAAGATCCAGACACTGACACTGGAATATCAGCATCAGTTGATGGATGGCAGACTGTCCAGGCTACATACGTTAATCTAACCGATATTTCTTTTACTGCACAATCAAGTGATTGTAAAGCCTAAAAGCAGAATGCATCGGTGGTCTACAACTGATGCATCTGAAATGAGAAAATTTTTTTACATTCTTTTTATCATGTGCATCATGAAAAAAACCACTGATAGAGGATTACTGGTCAAATTACCCAGTGCTGGCTGCTCTGCTTGTCAATACCATTATGCCACATGATTGTTTCAAACTGTTGCTAAAGTTTTGGAACTTTAGCAATAATTAATGTGGCTTAGCACATGGGCTAAAACTACTGAAGCAGCAAATGCTTTAAGATATTAAAACTTATTTGATATAAAAATTTTATTATTAACTATGTTTTGATGCCAAGTTTACTGACATATATTGATAATAAAATACTCTATTAAATTTTGAATATAATGCTATAAATGAAGATGTTGTTTGAAGTTAAGCACAAAGCTACACAATGGGCTATCTGTGCTCCTCCCACCATGGGTATCAAAACCTGGTTTCTTGCATTGCAAATCTGCAGACATACCACTGTGGGGCAATGCTGTAAAAAGGTTTTGGCATGTGCACTTTGATGCTCCCATATGCAAAGGATTATTAATGGCCCAGTAGAAGTTACCTTTCAAGAAAAGAAACTTTTAAAATGAACCAATTAAGAGTGAAATTATTTAATTAATTTCATTTCTACTTCATTCGCTACATGTCGGTTTATTTACAAATCAGCTGCTTCCTTCTAGAGCAATTTATCTATTACTAGTTAAAAAACATAAACTAATGATAATTAAAGTACAATTTTAGTATTGTAACCTTTTAAGCTTACCACTGAATCATCTGGGAACCCCCAGTGACATGACACTGCATTAAAATACATAAATAATTCAAATAACATTTGGTTAATCTTTTACATTACCATATAATACAATATTTTACTTCACATCCAGTGTCTAAATAGGTATAAACTTGCTCAGAATACATTGTACATTTTAAACTATAACCTTCTTAACTGAAGACAACTTCAAAATTAAATAGATGTTCTACTAGGCCAATACGGTAAAGGTGAAACATCTACTACAAACAAAGGTACACACACACATACACCTTAATGTTTCAGTATTTCCATTTATGATTAAAAAATAAAAAACAACACTATGAATTTCTGTTTCATTCAATATTGTGTTTTTAAAAATTTGACGAAAATAACCTCAATATCACACAAAATGAAGTTTTTTTTTAGTTTTTTCATTTTTATACCATCATACTGTATAATGGGAAAATAGTTTTATCACAATTCTGTTTTTGATATATTTTTAATCATTAGAAACTTCTGCTCAGAAATAGGCCAAAATACCCAACAACATGTAAACGTACCTATGTTTTAAATTAATACCCAAATAAAACTAAAATAATACGTTCAGGATCATCTTACCCAAAGAAGAAAAACTAAAAATCTAAACAGAGTTTATGCACTACACTATAAATACCTTGCTATCATAAAAACTGATGATACTCAACCAAACAAGAGTATAGACCATCAAAAATGACGAGGAAAGTAGTACCACCCCACCCCCATAATATACCTTAATATCAAATTCCATAGCTAACTGAAATAAATGAATTTCGCAAAATCAAACTTGACCAACAAAAAGGCAGAAAAGTGCAGTCGAGGCAATAAAACATCAGTAAATTCCTTTGTGAGCCAATCAAAATTAAGATCATTTAATGAAATGAATTTGAGGCATATTCATAGAATAATTATTGGTAAAAATCAGTTAGATTAACCACTTCTAATACATAGAAAAGTCAGTGAATTTTGGTAACACTACATTCCAACTATGGCTTTTATGTCATGATGCTTAGCAACAAAAGTATAACCTAATATTGTTTTTAGTCTATGTACTAAGAGTATAAGACAACAAAACTGGAAAAATATTTGTTGATTTCTTAATTTAGAGTTTCCGTTGATTAAAGAGGTTTGTGATGTAACAGAAAATAGCTTAATTCAGGAACGATTTAAGTTTAAAATTGAATTGATATTTTTACTTTCATGATAAATTTTATGCACTTGGTTCTAGGCTAATGATAACACACTACATCTTTACTTTAGGTTTATCATACCAACATTCACTCCACTTATAAGGTTTCACGTCAATAAAATTGTAATGAGCAAACAGTAATCGAACTATTCTATCTGAATAAATGCATTTTGGTTTTTATGGCTCCTCCTATTTCGAGAAATCAAGCAATGACATGACACACACACATTGGCTTTTATATAGGTTAGATGTTAATTGAAATACTACCTTTGAAGCCAAGAAGTGTGATCCAGATTTCAGGATTACAGGTTTTGGTTTTTCAGCAGCATTCAATGCTGACATGTGCACAAATCTTTGCACCCCACAATCTTTAGCAATCCTTGCAATGGCTCTAGGTCCTTCAACATGCACATCATCAAAAGTAAAACTCCTAGAAATTTTGGAATGGACAGGATACAGTAAGTTTATAATGTTTTGTTTTATTTCATATCATAAAAATATTTAATACAAACTAGTATAAAAAATCTTAAAATGAAGCTTTCTTAAGTCTTAAAAGATAACAAATTCAACATTCTAAAGGCCTTGTCAGCACTGAATATATCAGTTATAGTGTATTTAACACATTATTATACACTTTTCTCTACTTTAACTCAGAAGTTCATATCAATAAAAAAGCTTTTCAGTTATATCAAATAATTTTGCTGTTTTCCAAAGTTCCCAACTAATGAGATAAAAATGTAACTTAAGTCTACATCTCTAAAAAATAGCCACCAGTAAAATGGCTAACCTAATCTATTTTATTTTGTTTTGGTGGTGTGTCTTTTGTATGTATACAAAAAACAAATTTCTATTTTTCAAAATGACGAACTCAACCTTTTTTTTCCCATTACAAAGGGCCTGTAAAGTCTGATTAAAGTTTATTGTACAAAGCTATAGTTATCAGATGGAAAGTAGAAGTCTATAGACAAAGAACATAAACCTTTTTTAATCAGAGGGATAAGTTATTTCTTTGTGGCACACTCTTTCATGTAAGCTTAAGAGACCCATGTGTGTTAATAAAAGAAAATTAACAGTTTTTTTGCTTCTTAATGAAATTTCTAGTTAATTCTGGCTGACACACTGTTAGTATAACCATGTTACTCTTAAGCAATAACCACAATGGTAAAGATTTTAGGAATAATACACTTTTGGACTCTGGTAAAATAAAGTATAAATATTAGGGCTGTGTTCAAAAATTGGTTCACTAGCCAGTAATTCGATGATAGTTCTAAACTTTTAAAGTTTTGTAAGGCTGCATTCAAGTATTGTTAAATTATTTTTTCTCTTTTTAACATAAACTGATTGACAATGTTTGAATAGTAATCAAACATAAAATGTCGTACACATATGAAATTTGTGTATTAAAGCACAGGAGATAGGGGGGGAGGGCACCTTGTGGCTACATTGCTTCAATAAAATAAACTGCATACCTAGCATGCAATGCATAAGAGAAGTTACAATAGAATAAGTATGAAATATAAAATATATGCTAATATATGTTAAAAATGGAGCTCTGATGTAGCTCTACAACCCTCCACTCAGGGCATATATTTAATTAATCAATAATGATGTTGAAAAACTGTGACTAATAATAACAATTTCTCTCTTGTAACTTTTTTGTTATAGTTGGAGATACACATTTCTAACTGAACTGTTAGTGTTTCTCTGTTCTGTTTATTATTATCATGTTTATTAGGTATATTTCTTTAATTAACAATTTGATGTTAAAAAGACAATAACTGTTAACCTGCTTGGAACGGTGACTGTTAAAGCTTATGTTTGTAGTTAAGCACAATGGGCTATCTGTGCTCTGCCCACTATAGGTATCAAAACCCAGTTTCTAACGTTGTAAGTCTGCAGACATACCGCTGTGCTACTGTAGGGCTAAAATTTATGTCAGCTGCAGTCAATACAGTGCTCGTGCAATACAAGCTTACTGTATGTAATCATACTAGTATCACACACACACACAAAGCATCAAATATGTGTATATAAATAAACAGTCATGTTTGTTAATTAAGGCACAAAAAACATATTTCCTATTTGGTATAATACATTATTAAACTATATATGAATGTTTTATTTAATTTCTATGGATTAAATGTACGATAAAAGGTTTTTCAGTCACATTCTGTAAATTAGTACTATTGAGGGTTTGAACCTTCATCTGGTAGTGTTTTCCAAACTTTCAAAGGTCAAAATGTAGTTTTTGTTACAGCCCTAATACGTATAAATCAACTTAGAGATAGGATTTAAAGCTTCAAATAAGTTATAATTAACACATAATAGGAAAGGACAAACTTCACTATTGGTACAATTTTTATATCGTAAATAAACTCTAATAGCTTACAATATATTTCCTACACTAAGCAAGAAAAAACAGTTTTTAAAATTCTTTTTAAAAATTTTTCATTTTTTTCACTTAAGCACAGCATATCTAAACTTTACCTTGTCTCAAAGTCACGCCCAATCAGGTTAATGACAACATTTGAATACTTCATCACTTTATACAATGACTCTTCATCACTGAGATGGAAAGGCTGTGTAACAGAAAATATCTTACAAGACATAATACTTCATAACTTAAGTAATAAATAGGCTATAGCTTCAAGCTGCATACTATGTTGACCATAAGGTTTGTTATGGGTTCTGGTGAATAATTTTGTTGCAACTGTTTACAGAAACGTTTGGTAACTGTACATTTTGTATGTGTAATTAGTAAATCAGACATTGTTTGGGCAATATTTGATACACCACCAATAACTCTTCTGATTACTTAAATACTCATGGCATACTGCAAGATGAACAACTATGTACAATACAAGGAAATATGACAATTAACTCTGAAGTTGACTTTAAAATCCTACAACAAAACAACTTTTATCAAAAGGTAATTATTTTATCTAAGCCATATTCAGAACTTATGAAAAAAACACAAGAGATAATGGAGAAAAATACTATTCAACTAAAATAAAGGTAATAAGATTTTGAAAATAGATAGCATAACATTATGAAACTTCATTAGAGAAGCAGCACTGTAAATATACAATGTTATACATAAGAAATTTCAAAATTTTGCTGGAAGAGTAATATGAGCAAGGGTGAATGTTCAGTAAGTCCAAGAACGTATCTAAACTCAAATTCAACAGTGTAGCTTTAAAAAACTAAACATGAAATAATCATTCATTTCTGTATAAGAATTTAGTAATGAACACTTTGAAAATATAGTATCAAAAATCTTTTAAAAATACACATAATTTTATCTTCAGTGAAAATATTGACAATTTCTATTCAATTTAAATCTGTTACTACTGAAAATACTATTACATACATTTTACTTTTAAGTATAATATCTCAATACTGACAATGGGTTTTATATATACTACAATATGGTGGTTTTCTGTATATACAACCAAACAGATGTATTAATGTTTTATCAATCTAAAATTAATCAAAAACTTATGTTAATTTTTAAGATTGATATTAATGCTAAAAGAGGTTTATGGTGCCCTAAAACTAGTCTACAATTAAAAATAAAAAATATAAATGACATTTTTTGTCATGATGAAACATAACATCTTTGTTTTTAACCCTTAATACAATAGAATAATGTATCTGAAAAGAAATTATTATCTATTCTATGATTCTTAAAAAAATTAATCCCTTTATAACACTATTAGTTTAAATTAGTTATATTACTAAGCCATAGAATTAGACATTCAGGAACTTTTAACAAAGCACATTTCTGTTGAGTAGCTAATTTACAAGTCAACACATGAATAAGAAACATTCTCACAAAGAAAAGTATCTGTCCTAGATCTCCACACATGCGCAGTCTGAGAATATCATATGATTCTCCTCTGTATGGGATTATAACTTGAGTACCAATCTTCCCTAGAAAAAATAAAACAATAATTAATAGAATAGTACTGATCAGCTAAGTAAAAAGTAAATTTAAAACAAACATACCTATACTTATATATACCATTCAATTCTGAATATGATACTTACATGTAAGTACATGTTTCACATATGTAAAAATTAGTTTTAAAAATGGCTGTAATATTTTAACCAATTTCTTGAAAAAAGGCTTGTTACAGTAAATTACTGAAAGAAAAAGACATTACTTTAAAAGAATATAAAGATCAAAACCTAATGTAATTTTAAAACCAAACTACCCTCATCAACTGATTCACCCAAGTCATTAAAACTATATTATAGCTGACATAGATAAAAAAAAAGTTTTATATTGAAAGTGTCAAAGTGTAAGTTCTTAGGATGAAAAAAGAATTGTCAAATTATTAGTAACTTATGAATAAAGATAACATCATAACACTTGAAATAAAATTTATGCTAATAAAGACAATTTTCAGTTTAATAGCAATAGTGCTATTGTAATCTTAAGAGGTCTGATTTATAACATTGTTTTCAGGTTTGCTGCTCTTACTACAGGAAAGGTATCAAAATATTTCAAAAGATACTGAGATGGGTTAGTAGAATGATACTGATACTAAACTCCCAGTTTATAAAATATATATCAAGGAATGCAAAACTAAAAATTATTAGATTGTGATGAATCACCAGGTTGAGTACCACCATTGTTTTTTTATGTATTCATCTGTAATCAAGATGATCTGATTACATTTAAATACAGTATGATAAAAAATATATATTTTTTAAATAAGAAAATAATCTACACTTTCATAGTTTTATGAATGAATTTCACTGAAATATATAATAAATATTTACAAATTCTGGTAATTGAAACATGCAAAGATAAGTTTAGGCTGTGTTAAGGATGAGTTAGTTTTACAATATGTATTTTTGTAACTTATGAATGTAAAAACAGGTATTCATATCATTAGATATAGGACTGTTTTCTTTTCATCTTTATAACAAGTGTTTTAGTATAAAATGTAGGTTGCTGGTCTATCAGTACATAATCATAAAACTATTAAATCAGAAGACCATTCATACTATCAAACTTATCACCTAAAATAACCATACAAATATAAATGTATCATTTCACATTCATATCTTTTAAAATACGCAACAAAAATTATATAAATTAAACTAAAAGCACACACCATATAATATGACATACCAGACATCATGCTTACTTTCAAAAAATTGTGCATTTTCAACCATAATGTCTACTTTTTACGTATTGCATCAAAACAGTTCATTTCTGATAAACCATTATTTCAGATTAACTATATTAACATGCAAACACTAATGCATCACTATAATGCCTAACAAAGCTATGTTAATCTTGTGAATTTTTGAAAGTTTAGAAACAATGAAAGATTTATTCACTTATCAACCACCTTTTGCTACAATACCGTGTACCATTTTCCAGATATTTTATTCCAAGTAATTCAGTATTGTTTTACACGTTCATAAATTGTGAAAATGTTCGAGCTTTAACAGTCGTAACTATAACCACACAGTTACTCAAACACTTTGTAACCAACTGAGGAAAATGAATAATCACAGTTTATTTTATTTATTAGGCAAATGTTTGTTTAACCAAAACAAAAACCTGGTGTTTTGGATATTCTTCAAGTAGCCTAAAATTAAAGTCAAACAACTTACGAATCAGCATACCTTCAATTGGTTTTGTAAAATAAATCTTTTCATAATTATAACTTTATCTTTCAAAGTTTCAAAACCAACTAGAGAATGAATAATAATAAAAAAAGAAAATCTAGTTAGATAATGTAGTGTCATTGTGTTTCATTTCTCAATGCTAGCCACTATAATGACAATAATATATGATGTGATATGCACCAATATTTTAAAAGTTGGCTCTGAAACACTGCAAGCAAATTTTCAGTTATTTTAAATGAAAGAAGAGAGACCTTCAACAATAATAATTTAATATTTTAAATTAATAAATGTTTATCATAGAGTATTAAAGTAACCTAAATAAGTCAAAGTTAAACTAACATTAATGTATTGTGATATAAAAGTTTTAATAATTGTAGTTTTACACAACACAAATTTAAAATTCAACAGAGAATAAATAGTAAGAAAACCAAGAATATAATTAGGTAGCATTAGTTATATTGTTGTGACAATACTGTTTAAATCATCAACTGGTGGTCATGGCCTAATGAAAGGCTAATTAACTCCTTGTTACCAAACTCCTATAGTATTTGGATAATGGATCTGGGGCTTTTTACCCTCTCTCTTTTTTTTTCTTATTAGATGCTTCGAGCAATGTAATACTTTTCACATTGGGTTACATAAAAAACATTCAGTAACCTGAACCTGTAAGTTTTGGTGCATCTACATGTTAGAAACACAGTGCTATTATTTTTTACATTTTACTAAAGTTTCCTGTGTATATAACACAGAATTCTGCATTAATGTGACCTCTACATACTGTTATGTACATTTTGTAATTAGATAAAAATTACTATTCTACCAAACAACAGAGCTTGTATCTCTTTTTTATTGAACTGAATAAAAATACAAAACAAACTGAACTAACAAACTCCAATTTAACTTGCCTTTTATATAGATCATATGGTTTCAAAATTCTTAAGTCATGCCCATCAAAACTAGAATACAAATGTCTAAATTGAAAAACATAGCATAAAACAACATCAAAAAATTTCTAAACCTAATAAAACTGGGGAAAATTATAGAAAAATATTTTCAACTAACCTAACTTGTTTACCAAATACCTTCCTAAGAATCCAGAGGCTCCAAACACAGTTGCAACAATTCCATTGAAGGAAGACCGACCCCCTGTTCCTCGTTTTAAAGATGGCAAGTTAGTCCCTGGTGGAGGGAACTTTTTAACTGGTACATCACTACACTGATACCTTCGTTGTACAGGCTGTGTAGTCACAACATAAAGTCCAGGGAGGTGGTGTCCTATTTACATTTAAAGTTTCATTACCAAAGACTACATATATGAAACTATGGATCCTATAATACTGTATCAGTCTTATTAAGTACTTTGTGTGAAATTAAACTACAAACCATGAGTACATATTCATCTTTATAAATGAAAACCAACTCCATCTGGTAGTTTTGACAGAGGGAGAACTCCCAAGACTTTAAAATGCCTGGAGGCTAAATCTTTATCAACACCAAACTGAAATTTTATGATGTCAAATTAATTCTGCCTTGAATCTTTTAAATGCTTGATTTATCATTACTTTCAGGAAGATACTGACACTGGAACACAATTCTGAAGGCATTATTATAAATTGCACTGTCTATCATGTTACCTGCATACAAATTACAAAAAATGTACTAACAACAAGCATTATGTCATTACTATGAACATGCACAAGATTAAACATACAAAATAAGTAACTAGATGCTCATATGCTAGTATAACCACTCTTTACACATAGTTTAGGAATTTCATAACTGTTAATGATGAATTACCATTGGGGGTCCATACAGACCCCATTGTGAGCCTCTGACTTTGTTGGTTACAGAGTCCCTAATAACATATGGATCATACAAAAATTGTAAATAAAATACCATTAGTATTGCAATTAATCCCACAAATTACTACTGTCCTCCCTTATGTATGCTGTTTTATACCAGGCAAAAGTATAAATTATTTAATATGATGCAGCATGAGGACCCCTTCTGTAAACCTTTTGAAATTCCTTTAGGCAGGATTAGTGCAAGTTAATCTACGAGACTGTTTTCAGTTGCTATATTTTTTATGAGTCAGCAATACCATGCATGGGGAAGCATTATACTCAATTCAATTTTATTACTCATCAGGATCTCTACCAGCCTACCCTCAAATTGAAATTATTTTAAGCAGGATTAGAGTAAATTAATGTACGAGACCTTGGGCATGGTCAAATAAATCAATTAAAATGGTTTGACCTCCTCAGTCCAAAACTGTTATTAGATCTCAAATCAGTCAAGAGATGGTGGAGCTAGGAGTTAAAAGTTTCTGCTTGAAAAAAAAACAAACTTGGAGCCATTCTATGAGCTGCTGTGCCACGGATAAAAAATAATAATGAGATACATTTAGGAAGTTGAAAATTTTCAGAACTTCCCTTATTAATTTTTTTATTTTCCACCTCAGAAAAATCAACATATTAAATTTCAATTTGAAATGTTATTATAATCATACTGCCATTACTACCAATATACTGGCACATTATTACTGTCTGGCAGTACTCATTGTAAGAAATTTTACTCTTCACTCTTATGCCAAACATCTCAGAGTTAAGATTTTAAATGTTGCAAAGTTTTATCATAAAATGGTTTATTAGGGATAGATTGTTCAAAACTGTGACATATCCACAGTGCTCATTTCTCAAGCTATAACTTGAAGACATAAAATTGTGAATAGCCCAATTGTAGCTCAATATTTTAGCCTAAATAATTTATTTGTTTGCAGTTAAGCACAAAGCTACACAATAGGCTATCTGTGCTATGCCCACTACAAATACTGAAACATGGTTTTTAGCATTGTAAGTCCACAGACATACCACTGAACCACTGTGGGCATCTAAATAGAGCTCTTGGAAACATGTCCAGGATTCTTTAAAAATTTATCATTTGCCAGTAATCATTCTTACAGTGAGTGATTTAATAAGGATGAACATTATGTACCTGTGGTCCCTTCTTTCTCCAACACTAGAGCAACCAATATGATTAAAACGCCACAAGTTTACAAAATGAGCTTTCCTCATCTCACATACTTAACAATAATGAACAGAAAACATCAACCAGACACCACAGGTTTTTAAATTATGTACATAGGCGTAAATTTATAATAATTAATACCGATATTACTTTATCACTATCAGTAATGTCTACGACTTGTACAATAAAATTAAAGAGCAAACTGTATCTATTACAAATATTGAAACTGAAAGTTGAGAGTAACTTCAGTAAGGTTCTTTCTTGAAAACTTAGACATTCAAGTTAATACAATGGAAACACTGTGATGAACCAATCAATAATTCATTTGAATTTAACAGTAAAGTTAAATGAATTTGAATAGATTTTATCCCTAATCGTCCCGTTTCAGATATTAAGTAATATATATTATTATTATTGCCCAGAGCTAGTCTACGAGTACGACGAACGAGTCACATTTTACAATTCAGTTTCAGTTAGTCAACTTGATTTTAACAGATACTACGAAAAAACTAATAATATCTTTCGTTTGTAAAGTTCTCGTGTTTACGGAACAGCTTAATTTACACCAAGGAAATAGTAATAATATTAGTAGTTCTACTAACGTGAAAAACGGCTAATAACTTGAACGACAACCATCTTGTCCTTCTGATAACCGAACACCACCGTAGAGGGCTCAGTTAGGACACTAGCAATACCCAGTGAAAGAAAAATATACGAAAAAGTTTTATTTAAATACATATACGAGCATAACAAACAAACATCAGAATATCTAATATATTTATGCTTTTAAAGCTACATTTTTAATGTTGTAACTTCTTTGTTTACAGATCGTAATAACGAAGTCAGAGTAGGCCTAGAAAGTTCTAAAGATTTGGTGTCAAGTTCGTAGTAACTTCGAAGGTAGATTATATATACTTGGTCCAGTGAAACAATAAAAAGGTAGTTTAGAAAATAGTTAAGAAAAAAGAGAGTTGCTTTCTAATCAGTAGTTTGTTAGTTTGTTTGAAGTTAAGCACAAAGCTACACAATGAGCTATCTGTGCTCTGCCCACCACAGGCATCGAAACCCAGTTTCTAACGTTGTAAGTCCGCAGACATATCGCTGTGCATCGGTTTTTGATACCCTTGGTGGACTCAACACAGATAGATCATTATGTAGTTTTGCATTTAACAACATACAAACAAATACTCTTTTTATTAGAAACACATTGTGTGGTTTGGTTTTAAACAGTATTAAAATCTTTCATGTATTTCTCATTACTACTTCTAGCTTTTTGAGAGATGATAAGATTCTAACTTATTAAGCAAATAAAGTAAAGAAACCCACAACTAAAGTCTTGAATATGGTGTTAAGATTTTATATCTTAATAAATGTGATTCGCAAAGAACAAGGTAACAAGCAACCAGTAAAAGGTAAACATTTTTAAAACTGGTTTCCATCTAATCCTCGATATGGAAATATATATTTTCTATTTTGCTTACATATTATTGTAAAATGTTCTTTCATTGGCGGGATTTTTTAAATTGCCCAGGGGAAATAATTCAGAGTTCAGTTCACTTAAAGATAACAAATTTGTTAATTTCTTCTTTGACATTACTACCAACTTGAACAGTAAGTTAAAACTTACTGTTGTAGCTTGTCGTAAATCTACGTTTACAAATACCTCTAGCTACGCTATACTAATGTAAAAATCAACTCATTTGTACAAGGTAACTCAGTATGTGCGATAGCTAACACAGATACAAAAAAGAAAAGAAAGAAAAACACGTAAACACATTAACTTATTCGCTCTACTGATTAGAACTTTTTATCGTTATAAGCCTTCAGACTTACCACTGAGCCACTAGGGGGCAAGAAGAGTATTGTTGCGTCAGCGAGTCACATGACCACCGTGACGCAACGTTTCTAGAACTATCATGTACTTTGGCGAATGTTCAAGTTCTTACTAGAAATAGGGTACGCTGGTATATAAAAGAGAGGAATGTAATGTGTGTATGGATAGTGAGTAACTGAACTGCAGTCGGAAGTATTGTTGACGTTCGTTGATTAGCGTTTGTTTTAACGCGATTGTTGAAGTTGAGTGTATCGCAGAGTTATATTCGGAAAGAATAAACCAGTTTTATTAAGTAAAGACTTGTGTCGTTAAAGTTTCGTTGGAACGAAGTTACGGAAAAATCAATTAACAAACGGAGACGTAACAATATTATTGCAGCTATAGCATACTGGTACACAAAAGTCTAGGACTCTCAGTTACGGCTATGTATTTCATAAGTAACTCTGAATTTAAGAAGAAAGTATATTTTTAGTTTCAGCAATCACTCTGAAATAAATGAAACTACATAGCAGTAAGTTTCTGTTTTTTTACATAGTGCTTTTTTGTGCAGCTTGTTGTTTTCAATAATATGATAGCAACTGAGAAACACGTGAAAGATTGGAATGCTATTTAAAAACAACCCACATGATGGGTTTCTAACAGGAAGAGTACTTGTCTGTTTGTTGTTAAGTGCAAAGATACATTATAGGCTGTCGGTGTTGTACCAACCAGGAGTATCAAACCCTATTTTATAGCGTTATAAGCTTTCAGACTCACCACTGAGTCACTAGGAAGCAAGAATAGTATAATCACATATCACCACAAAGTGTGTAGTTGGTAAGTCATTACAAAATTTACATTAATACAAAAGAAATGAAAGAATTTTGAGCGACTTGCCTTAATAGTCGTTTACAAAATACACATTTCACTGTTAAATATACAGTTTCAATCGCCAAAGATACTTTACAACAATAGTGAAATTATTATTGCAGCTGTAGCATACTGGTACATAAAGTCTAGGACTCTTAGTTATAGCTTTGTGTTCCATACTTAACTCTGCATCCAAGAAGAACATATGTTTTTAGTTTCAATCATCACTCTGAAACAAATGAAACTACAGTGGCAATGAGTTTTCTTTTTTACATAGTGCTTTTTTGTGTAGTTTGTTGTGTTCGATAACCCGCTATGCATTAAACTATGTAAATTGTAATGTTGTAGGAGTATGTTGACTTCTTACCAAGTGTTGTCTTACGGAATGAAGTGCCGCAGGCAGTAATGGAGGTGAACATTTTACAATAATATAAAAGATGATCAGTAATTCTTTAAAAATAAAGGAAAATTTTAAGTTTTCACTTTTTCTCAAGGATGGTTGTACAGAAACAGCTTTGAAGGACCAAACATACCTTGTTGTACGAGTTTTGTGTTATTTTAACGATATATTTGGTCATAATTCCAATAATATCTCCCAAGCTTAAAATATTTTAGGGAGTCCTAGATATATATACTAATTAGCAACGAAATTTTCACGTCTTTTAATAAAAGTAAAAAACTTTTGACGATCTGTAAAAAAGCTACACTATAATCGTGAAGGAGGATTTCCCCCCCCCCCCCAAAAAGATACTTTTGAAATATGGACAATCCAATTTAACTGAATTTAAATTGAAGAAAATATGTCGTAAGAAAATAAGATTTTGTTATGATCTGCTGAATTTTATGAATATACGAGTCAGAAGCGTCAATTCGTGGATTCATGTTCAATGGTAGGATTCGATCAGATAAAGATACGTACTAGGTCCCTTATCAAATGGTAATGTATAAGCTGTGTAAAAAATATATTACCTTCATCAAGCAGATTTTCTACAACTTTAACATGTGAAAAGGTAGAGTAGCACTTTTTCAACACCTTTTTTTTTTCGCGTTGCATTCAGAGCCGTGCGAAAGGATTTTTTTAGAGATTCCTTGACGAAATTTCGAACCATGAAGACGTTTTTTATCAAGCTCCGCACCCAAGTGGCTAACTTCCCTACGGGAAGGCAACCCACTCAACGTTTGCCGACGGCTTTGCCCGTCATTATTGACGGCATCAAGAACGATTTCTCCCTTAATCGGATAAATATTTTCCTAAGAAAATACAAACCCAACGTCGCTATCGACCCGTCCAATACGAAACTTTTAAGAAGGTAAGTAATTTCTATTCAACCCCTCACCCCCGAAGACTCAGATTATCTATGTACCCCACCGAACTCTTACACACCAGTAGTTTGTAAACCGCCTCGAAATAACGCTCAACTTTTTTCTGTGCTCCCGAGAAACGTCAATCTGTCTATATACCCTGAAGACATTGTTACGACAGCGGAAGTCACGTGACGCTAGTAACACATCATGAACTTCTAGAACGTTCATGTCCCTACCTGAAGCCTCGGGAGGTTGCTAGATATGCGGTATTCTTGTATATAAGACGGCCAATAAGTGACGGCAACAATGTGTAATTGAACTGCGTACAGAGAGAGAGAGACGTATTGTTGGGTCGAGCGCGTGTGTCGTTCGTTGTGAATTATAGCGTTTGTGTAACTTATAGTGTGACCGTTGCAATTAAGTGAATTTCAAAGTTGTATTGAGAAAGAATAAACTAGTTTTATTTAAGAAAGGACTTGTGTCGCTAAAGTTTCATCGGAAATAAATTATACCGGAAGTTAACTAACGACCAGACATCAAGTATAGCCTCCTTGTCATACCTAACTTCAAGATCCACGCAGTGCACAGAATCAAATCAAGAATCACAAGCCAACCAACTCGATTCATCAAAATAGTCACAGATTCTAAAATTACAGAACAATATCTTCTAATTTACGGCATTTCTTATTACTTCTTCCACTTTACAGCAGAAAGACCAAGAAGACGCCTAATCACAAGAAACGGCGACGCCATAACCAGATCTTCCAAGCCCACGACACATCAAAATATACAGTATCCTGTTCTCGCCGCCGCACCCGCTTCCGTGACAGAACCGCCTACCACCTCCGTAAAACAACCGTGAAAATAAACACAAGCACTCAAACAACCATCCTCCAGATAACTTCACGGCAGACACAAACCACGTTACCTCTATCAACCAAGTGTGACGTCTCTACTTCTACGGACAGTCTCTTTCTTATACACCAAGAACCACAGACCAGGATTGTTAAAAAGGACAGAAGATTCCAGACCACAAGGATACAGACTCCAAAAGATTGACAAGATCCACTTTAAAAACCTCAGACGCACCAACCAAGTCCCCCACATCACCTAGCACCATCACGTTATACAAGACATCGTTTCGTCGACTAATCAATCAGAGCCCAATCCAGCTAAACAACGACCCGAGTGTACACAGATTCACGTCCTTCTTTCTCTTCTTCTCCACGTCTCCTTTCAGATCTTCCCTCAGCTTGTGAATTCGTCACTAGGAAAATTAACTGTTACGTTTGTTTGTTTTGAGTTTCGCGCAAAGCTTCACGAGGGCTATCTGCGCTAGCCATCCCTAAATTAGCAGTGTAAGACTAGAGGGAAGACAGCTAGTCATCACCACCAACTCTTGAGCTACTCTTTTACCAACGAATAGTGGGATTGACCGTCACATTATAACGCCCACACAGCTGAAAGGGCGAGCATGTTTGGTGGATCGGGGATTCGAACCCGCGACCCTCAGATTGCGAGTCAGGTGCCTTAACCATCTGACCATGCCGGGCCTAACTGTTAAGACCTTCATTCATGTAAGCATTTAATTCTTGAAAGCCCCGGGCACTGAATTCTAATTATGTAGTGGGGTGAAGAGAAACAAAAGTTTCTGACCGCCCCTAGTTATATTTCATTCCCCAAAGGGGAATGAAA